CGATCCATTACATCATTTAAGGTCTTTAAGCAAACTTTGTTATCATATTTTACTTTGGATTGTACCAGTTTTTCCTGAGGATGTTTTTATTTATGTGGTGATTTGATTCACTGATCTGTATATAGTTTTTGTACTATTTATGTTTACAAATGTTTGTATATGTATGTATGCATGTATGTACTGTATGTATGTATGTGTGCATGTATGTATGCATGTATGTATGTGTGTATGTGTGTATGCATGTATGTATGTATGTGTGTATGTATGTATGTATGTACTGTATGTATGTATGCATGTATGTATGTATGCATGTACTGTATGTATGTATGTATGTATGTATGTATGTATGTATGTATGCTTGCATGTATACTACTTCCCCCTTTTTTATGTTATGTTTTTTGGATGTTTTATTTCTTCTTCTGGTGTTATTATTATGTGATTGTGATTAATTGTGGGACCCCCTTGAAAATGAGATGGTACAGTACATCTTAAGGGGTTTATCCTAATAAATAAATATCAAAAGTAAATGATTAATAAACTATTGAAACCAACGTTTATATATCCTATTATTCAGGCCTACAGTAGTGGTTACTATTTATGTTATTAATGCTTTATTAACACAACTTCTTGCAGTTTTGTGACCTAAAGTGAGGACTATGTATGCTTTATAAATCCCGTATAAATGACAATTAAAGGCTCAGTATTGAATGAACAATAACCTTTGCGATCCTATCTAAAAATAAAACTATTGTAAAATTACTGTACAAATTGGATAAAACAACATAATAATTTGACAATACATTATGACAACATTTCAATGTTATTTAGCGATGTCTAAACTGTACAGTGATTTTTATTTTAGATAAGGTTGCAAAGATTTATTTTTCATTTGAAGTACAGTTTCAGTTGTGGATCTTCAAATGAAAATAAATAAATAAAGTCGTTTATTTTCTTTTTTTCTGTTTAGAATTTAACTAAGCCTTTAAATGTTACTTATAAGGGATTTATAAAGCATAAATAGTCCTCACTTTAGATTAGGTCACAAAACTGGATGAAGTTGAGTTAATAAAGCATTTATTAACATACAAATTAACTATTAGTATATGCCTGAATAATAAGAATTATAAGTGCTGATTTGAATAGTTTATTAATCATTTACTAACTTATTCTGAATGATCTTTAAAAACCACCAACTATTCTTAATTAACTGGTTTGTAAATAATGTGATAATTTAGTAATGAAAAATAGACCATTAACAAAGTCTAAAAACACTATAATTAAGCACATATATAGAGTCAAAGATATATATAAAGTCAAGAATACAGCATTCGTAGCTGTAGCTATAAACTGCTTACTAATGTTTATTGATGTAAAGTTAATGCTTAACAAATAATCATTTCACTATTTGCTAATGCTTAATAAATGATTCATAGTGTGTAGTTATTATAAAGTGTTACCTATAACTCTTAAGCAAACTGCTTTATTAAATTCACTTCATAAGTCTTCAATGGCTTCTGACTACATTGGTATTAATTTTGATTTGCCTTTTACTCTCAAAGTGTCAGTAACCACTGACTTACAAGTAAATAAACATTAAGCAGGCTCTTAAAAAAATCTTTAAATTTCTACTAAAGAAAAAAAAAAGTCCCCTGCATCTTGAAAGTTCTGAATTTGGCGAGTAAATGAACAGCACATGTTCATATTTTTAGATGGGCTGTATCTTTAAATCCATCTGGTTGGCTTGTGTGAGTGTGATGTATGTCCTGTGATGGGATTCCTGTGACAGACTGACTGTAAATATTCACAGTATTGTCAGCCGTGATCGTGCCGTCTGAGGTAAATTGTTAAAGTAGAGCTGTCTGACTGGATTTAGACACAATCTGATGCTTGTAAACTAAACGGACAGTTCCTCCAAAAGACATCTTTACATGCCAAACAATCCTAAGCTTTATAAATGACGATGCTTTGAGCTCACTCAGCAGTCTTTTACTGTAACAATGCTGTAAAAAGTGTTTTTGTTCCTGTGCTGCCTTTATTCTCAGGATGTTATCAACAGAAAGTAAAATGTTGCTGTCCAGTGAAAGATAAATAAAATGTTTTGGTGCTTAAACGTTACGGTTGTACAGAATACATTTATTGCAGTGTTGTTATGTTTATATAATGTAGCGCTGTATACTGCCAAATTATCTGTAAAGTCCATATTTATATTCTTAAATCAAAAAATATTCACTTGAAAAAAGCTTAATTACACAGGATGTATTAATCTCAATACATTTTTTTGTTTGAAACATTAAAAGAAATCTGCTAGTGGAGTGAGAAAGAAATGTTTTCTTTGGATTGATGTTTTCTGAAACATTTTTCATTTTCTACTTTTCTGAAACAAATTAAAAAAAAGAATAATAAGATGGCATTTTCTGAAAACAAGAAAAACAAATCTGCCAACTGATGAGATTTATAATCTGCATCTCTTTTGAAACGAGTTAATTAAATGAAAGTACTAAAAATTAAGAATGGTTTTATTGAAAAAAAAAAAACTATA